GGGCAGAGAGCATCGGGCAGAGAGCATCGGGCAGAGGGCAGAGAGCATCGGGCAGAGGGAAGCGGGAATTGGGCAGAGAGCATCGGGCAGAGGGCAGAGAGCATCGGGCAGAGAGCATCGGGCAGCGGGCAGCGGGCAGAGAGCATCGGGCAGTGGGCAGCGGGCAGAGAGCATCGGGAATTGGGCAGAGAGCATCGGGCAGAGGGAAGCGGGAATTGTGCAGAGAGCATCGGGCAGAGGACAGCGGGCAGAGAGCATCGGGCAGCGGGTATCATACAGCGGGCATCGGGGAGAGAGCACCGGGCAGCGGGTATCATACAGCGGGCATCGGGCAGAGGACAGCGGGCAGAGAGCACCGGGCAGCGGGTATCATGCAGCGGGCAGCGGGCAGCGCTCCCGCAGCGCTCCCGGAGCGCACGGAGGCTCCCCCGGCAGCCCCTGACAGCAATCGCCCCCAGGCCAGCGGGCTGCCTGGCAGGGGCAGCACAGAGGCCACGGGTTTTACCAGCTTTTGCCTCTTTTCTGCTCTTCGCTGAAGTCAATGACCACCCGCCAGCCCTCCCTGGGGTGTGTGTTTATTGAACAGAGAAATGCAGTTAAAGGGCTCAACTGGGCACAAGAAAGCTCATTTCTGTTCCCTGCTCAGCCGTTTACTTGCTGGGAAGCACTCAAAAAGACATCTCTCCAGCTTATCAGTGCATTCATTTCCTCTGCTGTAGCCTGGCATTTCCCAAGGAATAAAACACTGGAGGGTGGATGGCAGGCAGCTGCCCTGGGACCAATTTAAATCTCAGCAGATGCAAACTGACAGCCCCTACTCCCAGAGCTGTCTGCTAGAGCTAATATCCACCAAAAGAGCTCTTTTCTAGATTATGTGACTGAAAAATAAAGTTTACAGATGTGACTCAGTATGAGATGATGGGTTGTGGATACTTGTTCCTCACTGGGCTGTTCCCATCCCATCCCATCTTGCCATTGCCCTAGGAGTAGATCAGGGAGTTGGTTCTTCACTGCTGGGAGAGAGGAACAGTTAACCACGGATGTGTTATGTCCCTGAGAACACAGCCCCTTGAGCAATGGGAAGTTTAGGGTTGAATTCTGGTAAAACTGACAGAATTCTCTGTGAGAATGTACTATTAAATGGGGCAAACCTGGGGAAGTGCTCACAGCCTGTTTCATCTCAAGGGGTTGTGTATTCTCCCCGGTGTTTTTGAGGAGAGTACTTGCAGAATTAGTTGTTTATTAAAACTCAATTTAATGTTAAAAAAGGAAAGTTCATGAACTCCAGCCTTGGGACTGCAACAGCTCCAGGCTGAAATGAGAGCACCAAAGCAACAATCTTGATGTTAAAAACACAGGAAAAAAAAGGTTATTTGTCTTACTGATTTGGGAATCAGCTTAGGCCACAGCAGCCTGAGTGAGCAGCCTAAGAATCTCTGGCTTTTTGAGCATCTTAGCTGGGGTTGGCATGATCAAGGATGCCCATATTTCTGGCAGATACTGAAATCTTTCCAAGTCCAGATTTATGTGTGATAGAAGTTGTAACTGTGTGACTCTAGCCCACTCAGAAAAGTGAGTTATCTGTGGGAGAAGAGAAACAGTGATCTATTCTGTACCGGGTAAACAAAGCTGTGCTGTAGTGGGTGATTTCAGGAGAGAGCTGGAAGCCAGCTTTAAAAAGTTATGGTGAAAGCAGGAGAGAAGGGGTTGCTTCTCCCTCCCCACACCCCCACAGCAGCTCAGTGAGTGTTTCCTCTTATCTAAAACTCTTCAGTTTGCAGACTAGAAGTGACCAACCTTTGGAAATAACCCAGGCAGGTAGGTACAGGGATATACTGGCTTAGACAGACAGCTGCCTCTTTCAGATTTACCATATCTTCTCCTGGGAAGGACAGGAACAATGTAATGGACACGGGTCTAAATTTGTCCCTAATAGTGCCAACATAAAATACCCGACAGCTCTTCACTCAGACTGATGGCTTTGTAATGCCAGACTGTCAGAGTGTTGTCATGGCCTTTTGCAGCCTGACTGATGATCTTTTTATCTGAGCTGCAGGGCCCCGAGGCACCAGCCCCAGCCCAGCAGCACAGGGTTGTGCTTACACAGACAGCCCCCACTCAATCTCCCTGTGAGGAATCCACCCCAGAGGCTCATCCCCATCCTCAGCACACCTGCTGAGCCCAGCCCTGCAGGCATCACAAGTCACACAGTCATGGCTGTGTGTTAAATAGCATTGTATTAATACTGTGAAATAGTGATGGATTAATTTAGTCAAAATGCCCAGCTCAAATGCACTGTACACTGTCAATAGCATCTGTCTTAAAGCTCTACCAGCAGCACTCTGAAGTGGCTGCAGCAGCAGCCTTGCTCCAGGCAAAGTCCCTTCCACAGTCACTCCCAGCCTCACACATTGTCAGCAGAACATATGGCCAGAGCCCATGGTCAGCACCGTTCCCACAGCTCCCATCCCATCCCTGATTCCTCCCTGACTCACTGATGTCTGAATTTAAGCAGCGTGAGAGGAAACCTCATCACAGTCTATAAATTACTCATGAGGGTCAGGCACTGGTCTCTTCTGTCGTGACAGTGACAAGATCCAATGGAATGGCCTCAAGTTGTGTCAGGACAGGTTTAGGTTGGATACTGGGAAAAGGTTCTTCACCCAGAGGGTATTTGGGCACTGGATCAGGCTGCCCAGGGTCTCAGCACTGATCCTGCCAGAGCTCCAGGAGTGTCTGCACAGCACCCTCAGGCACAGGGTGGGATTGTTGGGGTGTGTGTGCAAGGCCAGGAGCTGGATTTGATGATCCCTGTGGGTCCCTTTCCATGCAGGGTCCTCTGTGATTCTGTGCTGGATCCCACCAGGCACATGTCAATGCCAGGAGCTCACTGTGTGATTGTGGTACTGCCAAAACTCTCCAGAGCCTCCAAACTTTCACAGCTACGAGTCACATTCTTCATCCAGCCACCAGGCTTCTGATTTCTTTCTCCTCAAGCCACACTGTCAAAACTTTCTGCTCCCTGCACTGGTGCAGCTGCAACACAGCACATCTTGTAGTGCCAACAGGAGCAGCTCCCAGCAGGCTGATGCTGCAGGGAACAGGATTCCAGGGCTCCCAGTTGGCTGGAGGGGCTGGGACTCAGTCACACCTTAAAGTGGCATTTAGGCAGCAAGCAAACAAATTTTTGAGTGTCTTCTCCTTGCCACTGTTTATCTGCAATGTGCATTTAGATTCCAGAGGCTGAGGTGCAAGCAGCATGCCATCCTCTCTGTGCAGAGCCCAGTGGAGCGTGCCTGCCTCTTGGTGCCAGTTTCTGGTTTCCACTGACAGCTCTAACAGAGATTGAATGCTGTGATTATTTCTGAAATAATTCGTGAATCTAGAGTTTATTTTTATCCAGCATGTCTAGGACAGCTCAAGAATTCAAAAAGCATTTAGTACCTGAGAAATGTAATTGTGAATCCCCTCTGGGAAAAGAGGGACTGGAGCATTTCTATTTCATTGATGGGGGAGTCCTGTAATTATTTATCACAATTTCTGACTCAAAAGTGTGCTGAATCCCAGTCTGCCAGAAAGAGGTTCTCCCTTTCAGAGTGGGTTCAGTGCTTTGGATGCCGCACAGGTGGAGGTGCCTTCTGCAGGAGCACCACACACCCAGCCTCAGAATGGGGTGAGGATAAAGCTCTGCAGACTGTGCTGCTGGAGCACTGTTCTGCCCTCCCAGGCTGCACCTGGAGCCTCCTCCTGGGCTGTGAACTCCTTGGCCAGGGCCAGATGTCTCAGAGCCAAGCTCACCAGCATTTCATTTCTTTTTAACTGTGACTTTGAGCTTGTATCTTGTTGCACACATGCAGTCTGTGCTTGGGCACCTCACAAGGCATCACAAAAGTGCTGCACTGACAGCAGCAGTGGTGAACCTGCTGGTGGGTTCCATGACTCAAGAACACACACGCCATGAAAAAATTAACACATTAAGTAGGCAAGGTGGCATATCACATTCTAAAGGGGGGTTTGAGAGTAGGAAGTATTTTGAGTTGCTTGGAAGCAATGAAAAGTCAGCCAGTTTTGCTCAATTGTGTGTTTGCTTTATTGTTAACAGAAAAACCCATGAACTCAGACCTTGCTTTAGTTGCCAGTGAACAGACAAGCTCAGTATTAACATCCACAGCCAGAGGGGAAGAGCAGCTGCCCAGCTGCCTTTTGACAGTACTGTCCCATTAAATAAACAAGGATGCTCACCATGCTCCCCAGAACCAGGAGAGCAGGAATAGGTATGCATGGCTTGTTTTGTGGGTTTGGATCGAATTTTTTGGAGGGCAAGGGGTCTGTAGCCCTTTGTGTGCTCTATGCCACCTATTTCTCCTGAAGGAGGAAAAGGGAGAGTGGAATTTAGATCGGATGTAAACATCAAAACTGGTCAGAAGTGTGGGCTCTGAACGTG